GTTTGCGTCGGATTAGGAAGGGAACATTGGGTATAGCGAGCGGTATGCAGATTATTGATAACTGCGGGTGTTTTGGATAGAAAGAGCGGTGATATTCCTAATGTCAACTAAGAACTACAAAATATCAGGTTTGACCACAAAGCATAGGGAAACGGCTCCCTACTACTTGGATGATGAATATGCTATGTTGAAACCAATATATATATAAGTACGTACAAATCCGGGACCCTATAGGTGAAAGTAGTGGCCAAAGAATTTCGGATCCGATGTACATGTAAATCAACACGAGGCGCTGCAGACTATGGGAAAACATGTAATAGCGCTGGCTACGATGTGAGTTATGTGCAAAATATTCAACTATGCAACCAACCAGTGGGGCTAGCTGACAAGACAAGACATGGATAGGACAACTGCGCGGGAAAAACATCTGGTCCACTGGTCAAAGCATTGGGTTTAGTGGATATGTGGCGGGTTGCATCGGGAAGTGAATATAGTGCGACAGACATTTGACGTGATGTGTGAAATGGCTGATTACCAGCCTAGCACAAGCTCGAGTGCTACACCAGCATTTAACTTTTCTATACTGTCATATCCCATATATTCATGCTTCTCTTCCGGACTTCAGACTCTGAGATCCGGTCCGGTCTGATGCATAGATCCGCTTCTGATCTGATATCCGATAAGCTTCCTATTTCATTTCCTGTTCATTTAATATTAAACACATCCTATTCGGTATTTCCTCTTCCCGGTGTTTCGGCTATACTTATTACCGGTATGATTACTGATTCGTTAACCTATGCTTCATTTCCGACTCGCGTTTGATAACCTTTGCACATGCTTCGTACATAGCCTTCGGACCATTGCTTACTTATCATTTTGTTATCCTCTTAGTATATAAACCCGTGTATATGTCCTGTAGTACCTCAGTTCGAATATCATCTTAGTTTGTCCTCTTTCTGTCCTCCGGACTTGAGTCTTCAACTCTTGTCAAACCTCCGAAGACTTCAGATCGATTCCGATAGTATACGTTTCCGACTCTATCTTTGGATAGTCTATACTCTGTTCATTTCTAGTCTGGATCCATCCAGATCAGTCTTATACGTGTTTCTGATATCCGGAAGTCATCCGGATATATCTACGAGACCCATCCGGACCTTTGGACGCGTTATCATTAGTACTTTGAAATAAAGGACAAGTACTTGGGAAAGGGGCAGAGCGTACGAGCTGAGGCAGAAGTCCTTTGGATCCGATCCTATGAGAGTACGACCTTAACATATACGCTCTGTCCAAAGCCTTGCATAGCTTTGGACTGCACTGATTGATTCTCCGTTAAATCCCTCAGTAGTATATAAACCCTGTAGAATCTTGTACTTCCTGAGTTCAAATATTATCTTAGACTTTGCTCATTCCCTCCTCCGTCCGACTTGAGTTTTTCCTGTTGTCGTCCTCCGCTAGTCTTAGGATTGACTCCTATAGACTTGTCATCGCCGCCTCTACCTCTAGTAGTCCTCCACTGTTTTCTTTCTAGTTCGGACATCGTCCGGATTAGTCATATCACTTGTTCCCGAACGTCCGCCAGAATTCCCGCGCATCGGACGTCGGACTGGAGACATCGTCCGATAAACTTTGTGCATTAGTCTAGTTGTCATATCCCGCGTTCCAGACCCGGACCTATGACACAAATCATTTCCGGACTTCCGGATCCGGCCGACTTCTATATCTCAAGGACCACGCTATAGATTTAGCTTAGAGGAAAGCTCCCATGCCCACGGACGATATCAAGGACACGCGAATGCTAGACGGAAACCCGCTCCGGACTTCAAAGTCGGAGAACAGATCTTCGTCAAAGCAAACTATTTTCGCTTGACCCGACCTTTGAAAAAGCTCTCGGAAAAGAATCCATCTTCCGGACGCTATGCGACCCGTGCATCCCGTATTCCATGTCTCTCAGTTAGAATCCGCGACTCTGAACACCATTCCCAATCGCATCCAACCTCCTCCGCCTCCGGTATGGCTGCTATACACGGTCCCATAATATGGTCCCCATTGGGAGCCGTTCTGTGTAAGGCGGGTGGTTGGTTATCCATGCATTAACCACCAGCATGTACGGTCCCCAATGGGAGCCGTGATCATCCGCCAGTATAGCTACTGTGCACGGTCCCACGATACGGTCCCCATTGGGAGCCGTTCTGTGAAAGGCGGATGGTCATCCATCCATGATCGACCAGTATGGAGGGTCCTCAATGGGAGCCGTCGTCGTCCGCAACTATGGCTGCTGTACATGGTCCCATAATACGGTCCCCAATGGGGGCCGTGCGGATCCGGATGTGTTATGGTGTTATGCATCTATTATCCAGCAGTATGTACGGTCCTCAACGGGAGCCGTGGTTGTCCGCCAGTATGGCTGCTGTACACGGTCCCATAATACGATCCCCAGTTGGAGCCGTTGTGTGTAAGGCGGATGGTGATCCATTCATCATCCACCAGTATCATGGGACCATGTACAGCAGCCTGACAGGCGGTAACACCAGTCTATCTGAAGACGCAAATTAAGTGCAGCCGGTTGCAGCCGGTTATAGGTATAACCGGATGTCCGGAGTTAGGGGCTCACTGAGAAGGAAACAGATCCGGAAGATACAGGTTGGTCGGATCCGGATATCCGAACATGATGTATGTGAGAAGTCCGGGTCCGGAACGCGGGATATGACAGTATCCCCTTTTAGGGCCGCGCCCACGAGGCTTCTGAATCACAAGTCCGGTTCGGAGTTTAATAAATGCGAGATTATGGGCGGAGCTCGTAAGAATATGACTGGGCATATAAGTAGGCCGGGGCGCCCATAAGAAGTATAAAACTTTCCCCCGACATCCTATTATCGCTTGATATGTCTAACTCCACTTCCGGCAACAAGAAGTCCGCCCGGCAACTCCTCGAAGAGAGGCAAGCGGAAATGATCGCTGAAATCGCGCGACTCGAGGCGGACGCTCGGAGAGAGGCGGAAGAAGAGGAACGCAAGCGCAAGGAGGCGGAAGAGGAACAGAAGCGGAAGGATATGGAGGAGATTCGGCAGCAGTTGGCTGAGCGCGAGCGCGAGCGTTTGGTTAAGGCTAGGGCGGGTAACGCGTCGGAGGTGATTTGTTTAAGTTTTCTGTGATTTCCGGAGGTTTACAAAATGTCAGTCCAGCGGTCCGGCGGATCCGGAGCTCGCATGTGAGATGTGCGTCACTAGGCGCAAGACTTGCACCTGGGCAGTAGCATCTAAGATGCCGAGGGTGAGTCACGATGTCGTTTGGATTCGGATGGTTACTGATGGTTCCAAAAGATCCGGACTTGTGACCAATGCCGCGCGTCGAAGGAGAAGTGCTTCGGCGGAAATCCGCCCGTCAAGGCGCCGGCCGGCAAAGGCAAAGGCAAAAAACGCGCGCGTCCGGAGGGATCTCCGTCCCCGAAGGGCAAAGGTAAACGGCGTCAGCGGAGTCCGGAGCACATGGACGACGACGTGGAGATAATCTCCAATCCCCGGACGGTCATTGGGGAGAATCAAGACTGGGCGGAGTACGATGATCAGGCATGGGTCGCAGCCGCCAACAACATTGTGGCGGAACTGGCCCGGACCAATGGGCTGATGGAGAGGGGTATTGCAGCGGCGGAAGGAAGCAGGGCTGCGATGGGCCGGGTGAGTGAGACCATGCTCCGGTTCATGGAGGAGCAGAGGGAGTTTCAGAACCTCGTCTTGGAGGGTCTGAAGAGGGGATTCCGGATGAATGTGGAGAATGCTTCGGAGGAGGAGGAGGATGCTTCGGAGGAGAAAAATGCTGAGGCGGCGGCAAGGGAGGCCGGCGAATCCGGCGGAGACATGGAAATGGACTCTTAGGTAGTCGGATCCGAAATCCGGATGTGAGATGTTTAAATAATGTAGACATATGCATATCTCTTTTAGGAGCCGTGCAGATCCGGATGTGTGATGCATTTATTATCCAGCAGAGAGTCGTCTGTATCTGCCAGTATGGCTGCTGTACACGGTCCCATGATACGGTCCCCATTGGGAGCCGATGTGTATAAGGCGGATGGTGATCCATGCATTAACCAACCAACCAACCAACTACCAGTATGTACGGTCCTCAATGGGAGCCGTCTGTATCCGCCTGTATGGCTGCTGTACACGGTCCCATAATACTGGTGGATGATGCATGGTTGCATGGTTCACCATCCGCCTCACACACAACGGCTCCCACTGGGGACCGTATTTATGGGACCGTATACAGTGGCCATACTGGCGGACAACTACGGCTCCCGTTGAGGACCGTACATACTGCTGGATAATAGATGCATAACGCCATAACACATCCGGATCCGCACGGCCCCCATTGGGGACCGTATTATGGGACCATGTACAGCAGCCATAGTTGCGGACGACGACGGCTCCCATTGAGGACCCTCCATACTGGTCGATTATGGATGGATGACCATCCGCCTTTCACGGAACGGCTCTCAATGGGGACCGTATTATGGGACCGTGCACAGTAGCTATACTGGCGGATGATCACGGCTCCCATTGGGGACCGTACATGCTGGTGGTTAATGCATGGATAACCAACCATCCGCCTTACACAGAACGGCTCCCAATGGGGACCGTATCATGGGACCGTGTACAGTAGCCTTACTGCCGGATGATCACGGTTCGCATTGGGGACCCTACATACTGGTCGATTACGGATGAATGACCATCCGCTTTACGCAAAACGGCTCACTTTCGGATTCATCTTTGCCTTGTATTTGACACTATGGAAATCCAAGTAGTACATGTTGTTGCTATTCAAACGCTATGCTATTTGTACGGAAAATAATTGACAACTATCTAGCGGCAGCGGCGGCGCGTCTCTAAGATAAGCCCGGTAAGCCCGTTGTTGTTTTTGTTGTTTTTGTTGTTGTTGTTGTTGTTGTGTATTTACAAGATACATATCCGGGTTGGGTTGGGTTGCAGGACATCCCGAACCGCTCACTACACATCTATCTCGGACCCGGATTCCTCCTCCTCCTCACGCAACAGGATCCGGTCCGGGATCGGTGCAATTCCATTCACCCATTGACGCCGGTCCACCTCAGGCTCGCCTCCATTCTCATCCTCGCTCGCCTCTTCTTCTTCCTCGCCTTCAGCATCTCCACCCGGTACCCGCTCCGGCTCCCATCTAGCAGGGTGCGCTGATGGGCTCACAATGACCTGTGGAGCTCGACCATCGTAATTGACCGGAAATTTCCGGAAGTTCAGGTCCACCTCATAGTTCCACACCCGGGACTTGCACGGCTTCGCAATCCACAACAACGTCCTGAATAATTCCCAGAATTTGCGTCGGACCGTGTCGAAGTCCTTGGCCGACAGTTTCAGTTTCAGGTCGCACCATTCCTCCCAATATTTCATCCTCGGATAGTTCTGTGGCTGCCTTCCGGCCGGTCCTTTGAAAGACGGGAAGTAAAGGTTAAATGCGTCCATCCATTCCTTTCCACTAACTTTCATGCACTGCACCCGGTGGAAGACCATCGCGAGGTTCATGTCTTTGTAGACGTCATCAGTGACATGCAGACGTTCCTCCATACTGAGTCTGCAGTGTGATGCCGCGAGTGGCTCGCCCTTCAAATTTCCACATTTTTGCAGTACGTCACTGCAAAACTGGTTCCATAGTCTGGTCAATTGCACCCCGGGGTCATCTTGACGTTCTTCAGGGTAGTCAGCACGTTCGTCCCATGGCAGGTCCTCGCCAGCATCGTAGTGTCCGTCACCGAGGTAGATTTCAAAGTTTTCAAGGATGGCTGCAGGAGCTGGCTCGTCCACCCGATGTCTTTTGGAGAATGACTTTTGTGTCCCCACCCGTGCCTTAGGCACCATGGAATTCGGAATGTAAAGTAGAGGCCGATACTTTCTCTGCAGTGTATCATAATCCATCCCAAACACATACTTGAAGCTCGACTGCCGCATCACTGAAGGACCTCGCTCCATTCTCGGAATATCTGCCGTTGGTGGCCAGATAATAGTCCGGAAAAAATAGGCCCCATATGCACTGAATGGCAAGCCATCGCCAGGCCGAATATCCTCTCTCCTAGGACGGATGTCCAACATGGCATGTTCATAATCCTCGGTCAGAGGCAGCACTGTGCACATGACATCACGTGCCGCACTGCCATCGTCCGGCCGAGAGTGCAGCCCATTGGTAAGCCACTGAATACCTGCTGTCAGGGCAAGGGCATCCGGTGATACTCGAGGACTACCACCAACTTGATTTTGCAGAGACACTGTGCGTGAAAATCCCTGCAGACGGACAAGTCGCCATTGCCTGTGAACAAAAAATTTCATGTGAGTACAACAACTCCCAGGTGATGCCTCTGCTATGGGATGAAGCTCACTCACCACCAATCCTTACGATCAAAGGCCAAGATGCTGCTTGCTATTAGCTCCTCGGGAATGGTCAAAAATCTCTCGTTGGCCTGATCAATCTGAACTCTGAACTCAATTCTCGCAGCGCAGTTGTGATTCTCCTTGGCATCAAAATACAAATCATGCAGCCTCTGCATATATGCCGGGGGACGACCATCTAGCATGTCTTTGCCGCGAATGGTCAATCCATGTTTTCCACGGTCCAGTTGTTGAATCAAGGCTTTATCGGTCGTGTAGGCTTGAATGTATGAAGGATCTTCAACACCCAATGCAAAGGTGCCACGGAATCCAGAGACATGCAACAAACCAGACGAAATATCCCTGTGGTAATGGCGTGATGGACGGTTGACATAGCTGGCAGCTTGAGCAGCAGTCAAACAAGTGAAGTGTTGGATGATGTCACTGTGGGAGTCGGTGCGCCACTGATAGGAAAAGCCTGGCTCAGATAATTCCAGTCCTACATCCACCCAGCAGCGTGGTTCTGCACGTAGCTCATCATCCAGGTCACCCAGCAAGACATACAATGCATCCAATGCATCTCCATTGTTGTCCGGAACATGTTGGTTTGCCTCTTTGACACCCTGGACCTGTGTCATGAATAACATATCTCTTGCCCAGGCATGCTTGTTGGCCAATTTTCTGGGCAGGTCGTATCCAAGATTAGGGATCATGGCACTGGGGAAAGGATGAGTTCGATGTTGAAACTGATTGTTGGATTTCCTGGCACGATGAAGGGCAGTGGCATAGCTGGTGGGCCAATTGGTGATAGTCTCTGGATTGTGCTTGCGGAGTGTCGGTAACAGACCATCCTCATAAATTGCAGTCTTCTGCTCTGGGGTGAGCTCCACAGGTACATCTGCGTTGTTCTCTTGATATAATGCTGGAAAGAACAGCCGCACCTTGGTGCGAACACTCACAGTCCCCAAGCATATGTTGGGCACACGGTGTGGATGTACTGGCACCTCAGCCTATTGCACATGGTTGGTTGGTTGGTTGGTTGGTCAGTGGGCTGTAAGCACGGATCAGAGACAGCAGACACTTACCTGATGTGCTTTGATTTTCATCGGAACTTGGAGGTGCACATTAGATGTAAGAGTATCCACAGTATTAGAGACAGGATAGATAAAGAGGTCCCTGGCAATTGGAAGCCAGTCAGTGAAGCTGATGAGGCTGTCATAGTCTCTGACAACAGTGACAACCCTGTCTTCAGTGATTTTGTTGCGTGTCGGTTCGATGGAATACTGAACAAGTTTCTGAGAATCATATCCAGTGAGCACAAGATTGAGGGCCCTATAATACCGAGCATCATTGACAGCCTGATCTTCTCCATTTGCAGCATGAAGAAGGGGGATGCACTCGTTGTTGAACATAGCAAGAGAGCAGCCTGTAACAGTTGGGCGGGCAGGTCTGTTAGCTGGCATATTGAAGATGATAGCAGGTATGAGAATGCTGAAGAGTCTTGGCACAAGATATTGGAGAATGGAGGGGAAAAAAACTCATCACAAATATTGCAGGGCATTTATATAGAATATTGTGACATCACGTCACATTTAAGATTCATGATTTAAGTTTGACACATGAGGTAATGATCTGAATTCTATTTACATAATGAATTTTGACATTACTTGTTGTTTGTTGTGTTAACAACAACAACAACAACAAAGGCTATATCATCATAGGAAAATTGCCACGAGCACACATTACATATTATAAGGACACAAATGAAACCCTGCCATACACACAATGCACTCGTCTTATGGCACCCTGTGGGGGCCATCCTAAAAGTTGTATATCGGGTGCTCTGGCAGACACCAATGATAGTTGGTCTGTGTGGCACCCATTGGAAGCCTCGCATACAGCATTCTGAGGGGATGCACATTAATGAGCCTCCTTTGCACCAGTCTGGATGTGGCACCCAACGGGAGCCCTTCTCAGAGTAGTATATGTGTGGCACCCATTGGGAGCCCTTCTTAGAGTAGTATATGTGCAGCACCCATTGGGAGCCCTTCTCAGAGTGGTATATGTGTGGCACCCATTGGGAGCCTTCTCTGTATCAATCAGGTGCGGCACCCATTGGAAGCCCTTCTCCGAGTAATATATGTGTGGCACCTATTGGGAGCCCTTCTCCGAGTAGTATGTGTGCGGCACCCATTGGGAGCCCTTCTCAGAGTAGTATATGTGCAGCACCCATTGGGAGCCCTTTTCAGAGTAGTATATATGTGGCACCCATTGGGAGCCATTCTCAGACTCAAATATGTGTAGCACTCATTGGGTGCCCTATCAGTCTAGTCCAAATATTATGACTTGTTTGTCCCTGTTTTGTCTCTACATTTTATAACATTCTGCACAGCTTTTTCTTCTTTCTCTCTCCTACATTCTATTGTGCAGCATCCTCTCTCAACAACAACAACAACATCCCTCCTATAATGTTCTCTCTCCTTTCTTTACTATTTCACTGGTTTGCTTATCTGGGTAGTTATCTACTGCTAAGCTTCTCTACTCTAATTGATCCTAACTTTCTTTAATATTTCTAGTGGTGACTTGCTCTTGCAAATCTGACACTAGTCAAGCAATACATTCTGTGACATACCAACGATCTCTCACTTTCCTAACCTATGATTTTATGAATATCTGGTTAATAATTGTCCCTGTCATTATTGGCATCCTTATCATTCTCTATGCACTCTATCTTCATTATCTTACACGCACAACTGCCGATCAGCTAAATGCCATTGAGCTTCAACGCATCACTACTACTCTTCCACGGACCAGATCACCAAGCCCTCCTATGCTTGTTTTCTAATCTCACACAACATCCGAGTCCTGGACATTCATGTTAGTACTCCACTATTCCTACTTGCCTAGCTGTCTGATATGGGCTAACTCTTTGCTAGTTGCTAGTTGCTAGTTAAACAGTCAGACAACAACAGTTTACCATGCAAAGTAGGATAGCCCATTGACAGTTTCATAATTATGGGCCAGCCCAAAGCCTCCTCTACACTATATAGGTGTGGTATCCATTGGGAGCCCTTCTTAGAGTGACATATATGTAACATACATTATAAGGAGGGCGTAGCCCTCCTTGGCTTCCTGTGATGAAGGAACAACACTCATTTTTCTCCCCTGAAGGAGCGCGTAGCGCTCCTTCGATTTGTGCCGAAGGCACAACGGGCGTGAGCTCGTAAGAGTTAAGAGTGGATACATGAATCAGGGTTCTTAACATGATGACAAGATGATTGTTGATTGTCGATTGTTGATTGTTGATTGTTGATTGTTGATTGTTGATTGTTGATTGTTGGATAAATGAGCCTAGAGAAGACTAGTGTTAAGAACGTGCTCAAGGGTCGAATCCGAAGGGCTTAGCTTCAGCCCCTTATCCGAGTACGTGCCCCAACTTCCGAAGGCTGTCGAACGATGTCCGAAGGTTATCGGACGATGTCCGGAGTCCGATGTCCGATGCGCGGGAATTCCGGCGGACGTTCGGGAACAAGTGATAAGACTAATCCGGACGATATCCGAACTAGAAGGGAAACAGCGGAGGACTACCAGAGGTAGAGGCGGATGTGTCAAGTCTATAGAGTCGATCCTAAGACTAACGGAGGACGGCGAGAGGAACTCGTATCCAACCTCCTCCGCCTCCGGTATGGCTGCAGTACATGGTCCCATAATACGGTCCCCAATGGGAGCCGTTCTGTGTGAGGCGGATTGTCATCCATCCATTATCGAGCGGTATGTACGGTCCTCAATGGGAGCCGTGATCATCCGGCAGTAAGGCTGCTGTACACGGTCTCATGATACGGTCCCCATTGGGAGCCGGTCTGTGTGAGGCGGATTGTCATCCATCCATTATCGAGCGGTATGTACGGTCCCCAATGGGAGCCGTGATCATCCGGCAGTAAGGCTGCTGTACACGGTCTCATGATACGGTCCCCATTGGGAGCCGGTCTGTGTGAGGCGGATTGTCATCCATCCATTGTCGAGCGGTATGTACGGTCCCCAATGGGAGCCGTGATCATCCGGCAGTATGGCTACTGTACACGGTCCCATAATACGGTCCCCATTGGGAGCCGTTCTGTGAAAGGCGGATGGTTATCCATCCATCATCCATCACAATGGCGGCTGTAGATGATACTATGATGCGGTCCCCATTGGGAGCCACGTGACGCATTGAGGGTGGTTGGGTGGTGTCCTCGCTGTATTTCACAGCCCTATATGTGCGTGATATCATTTGTGCACCTCTCACAGACGCGGCTCCCAATGGGACCCGCGCATATCGGGCTGTGAAATACAGCGAGGACACCACCCAACCACCCTCAATGCGTCACGTGGCTCCCAATGGGGACCGCATCATAGTATTATCTACAGCCGCCATTGTGATGGATGATGGATGGATAACCATCGCCTTTCACAGAACGGCTCCCAATGGGGACCGTATTATGGGACCGTGTACAGTAGCCATACTGCCGGATGATCACGGCTCCCATTGGGGACCGTACATACCGCTCGACAATGGATGGATGACAATCCGCCTCACACAGACCGGCTCCCAATGGGGACCGTATCATGAGACCGTGTACAGCAGCCTTACTGCCGGATGATCACGGCTCCCATTGGGGACCGTACATACCGCTCGATAATGGATGGATGACAATCCGCCTCACACAGAACGGCTCACTTTCGGATTCGTCTTTGCCTTGTATTTGACACTAGAAATCCAAGTAGTACATCTTGCTATTCAAACGCTATGCTATCAATCCACGTAGTCCATGTTGCTATTCAAATGATTTCTACTGCTATGGTATTAGAGCGAGGGAGAGAACTATCTAGCGGCGGCGGGAGCGCTTGTCCGAGATGCGCCCCTCAATGTCATTCAATTCCTTTCTCATGCTCTCGCACGTCGCCTGTATGACGTTGAGGACGCTATGAAGACCGACCATCCTACCGGCGAGATAAAGGCTCTCGTCCGCATTATCACTCCCCGCCTCTGTTGACTGCTCCCGCATATCCGCGGCCTTCCGTTTCCGGTTAGTAATGATGTTGTCATGCGAGAGCTGTGCGGTCAAAGGAGCTGCAATAGTCCGTTTCCCGGACGGCGTGAAGATCGGCGCATGGGCGGACATGCTTGTACCCTCGGAAGCGGGCGCTCCGACTGGCGTGACCCCGCGGGTAGGAGTCACTGATGCGACTTCAGCATTAGCCTTGGGAGCCGGACCCGCTTTCTGAGAAGATCCGCTGGGCTTGACGATGATGGTACCGGTCGGCCTCGGTTTGGGAACGGACGCGGGTGGGGGTGGAGACGGTGAGCGGGTCATCTGCCTGCCTCTGCCTTTGGCTGCAATATTGTCAGTCAGCGCCGGTTATATGAGACGTAAAAGATCCAAACGATACTCACTCACTAAGGAGCACTTACTCTTCGCGTGCCGGCAGGCGTCGCACGACGCGTAGCCAAAGACAAAGATGCAATCACTCTTGGATTTCTTGCATTTCAGACATGGCACCTTGTTGAGGTGCGGAATATTGGTGCTCTTTCTCGGGGTCTGCGGCTGCGCACGTAAAGTGGTTGGTTGGTCAGTTAAAATGAGAGAAAAGAATATGAGATACGAACGTTGTTTGTGACCGGCTCCGAGACATGGCGAGTCTCTCCGGCAATCTCGACTTCGGAGTCGTCGTCTACAGGTGGATTGGGTCTCTTTCCACGCCGAAGTCGCGTCAATTCCCGCGCGGCGTTCTCCGTCTCTTCCTCCGCATCTTCCTCCGCCGTCACAGTTTTCCCCTGCTTCTCCTGCCCTGACTGACCGGCTCCGTGCTGCGACGTTTCCGCCGGCTCATCCGTGTTGCCGGTCATCGTCTGATCCTGCTTTGCCTTTGCCTTGCCCTTGCCCTGCGCCGCCGGTTGAGTCTTGTTCGCATGTGGGGCCTGCTGCGCTTGGGCGGCGGCAGCGTCCGTCGTCGCCTTGATTCGCTCTTGGAAAGTCCTGAACAGCTGTCGACCGTGCTGACCGGCTTCCTTCTCGGCGATAGTGAACTCGACATCCACACCCGCCTCCCGCGCATTGGTTATTCCGTTTTGGAGAGCCCCCTACAACCACATGAGAAGTGGTTGGTTGGTTTAAGTTAGCGCAAAGACAACGAAAAAGCAAATAATCACGCACCAAAGCATCATTCCACCGTCTGCACCACTGCTCCTGCTCCACAACGTTACTATCGCCGTTTACCGTGGGGGCGGACGTGACAACGTCGGACATGTGGTTGCGCAACACGATCATTCGATTTTTGAGAGCGATCTTCTGCTGATTCTCGCCTGCCGGACGTGACAGAGCGAAGATGTCGTCGATATCGAGCTGTTGGTCGGCCATCGTCTGAGTGAGATAACGATGGTAAAGAAGAAAGTGGGCAAAACGATGAGAACGGAAGTTATATGGAAGCGCGATTCTGTGCCTCGTGCAATCCATTGTTCTGGGTGAATTATCAAATTACACATATTCCACCGGTCACGTGAGATGCTTCGCAAAGTTTAAAGTTCGTGAATACCTAAGGTGTAAGCCTAGTATTGGACCGGTTAGTATTGGACCGGTTGATATCTTTAATGCAATCGGTTGACCGACGCGACCGGGTCATAGGGATCGCAACATTGATCCGTATGTCGTTAGCTGCTCTGCACCCATTGTGTCGGGTCCATGTTCCAATTAGGCCACAACGCCGTCACGTGTCTTTCGCGACCAATTTGACCAAGTCTGATTGGTTGGTCGGTTGATCCGTTGGCTTTATAAACTAACCGGCTCCGTGTCGGAGCCGTGAGCACCAGCAATGGGAGCCGTCGTCGCCCGGCATTATGGCTGCTGTACACGGTCCCATAATACGGTCCCCATTGGGAGTCGCTCTGTGTAAGGCCGATGGATCATCCACCAATATTTACGGTCCCCAATGGGAGCCGTGATCGTCCGCCAGTATGCCTACTGTACACGGTCCCATAAAATACGGTCCCCACTAGGAGCCGTGCTCATCCGGATAGGTGATACATCCATTATCCAGCGGTATGTACGGTCCCCAATGGGAGCCGCGATCATCCGGCAGTATGGCCTCTGTACATGGTCTCATAATACGGTCCCCAATGGGAGCCGTGGTTGTTTGCTAGTATGGCTACTGTACACAGTCCCATAATACGGTCCCCATTGGGTGCCGCGCTGATTCGGATGGGTTATCTAGCGGTATGCACGGTCCCCAATGAGAGCCGTCGTTGTCCGGCAGTATGGCTGCTGTACACGGTCCCATAATACGGTCCCCATTGGGAGCCGTTATGTATGAGGCGGATGGCCATCACTCCATGACCCACCAGTATGTACGGTCCTCAACGGGAGCTGTGATCATCCGGCAGTATGGCTTCTGTACATGGTCACATAATACGGTCCCCAATGGGAGCCGCGTCTTTCACGAGCACCGGGGGTTGGTGTACCGGCCGATTACCCGCCTATCATACACAACGATGTTGTGAATCAGCCGAAGTTGTTGTTATGCCGGCCACTTGAACTGCTCCCATTGTGAGCTGTGCCTATAATGAGCTGGAACGCACCTCTCTCGCCCGGTTAGTTGCTGTGGGAAGTCACGCCATCTGAGCCAACACATTATAACATGCTATTAACTACAACTACAACTACACAACTACACGAAGAATAAACTGCAACTGCATATTGAGGGAGCGCAAAATGATAGGAAACTGAAATACAGACAATGGTACGGATGAGTATGATGACGCATGTCAATGTCATGTGCAATAGTGCGGACCGGACACCCCTCAGGAACGAGCTCTCGAAATGCCTCCACGGCCACGCAAGCCCCGCATGCCTCTTGGCTTGGGCGCATTCTCAGGTACGGCGGTCCGGTCGTTAAACGATATGCTGCCGCCGGCACCCTCATTTTGCGAGGACTGGGAGGGCCGAACGGCCGCCGAGCCATCCCCATGCACATGAACCTTCTTATGCGGAGGACGAGGGCGATTGGGACTTCTTTGAGGTCCGGACGGAGGGGATGCAACCGTTGACGTTGTACTACGACGGCGTTTCTGTCCACCAGAGTAGGTATCAGTAAATCTCTGGTCATCCCACGGCTGCGATGACTGAACCCGGTCGTCGTCGCGTTCAGTCAACGTTAGGTCAGACATCTGCTTTTCACCCAGCAACGCCTCCACGTCACTTTTATCCTGGATACCATGACCGGACATCAGTCTCCGTTGACAATCCGGAGCCGAACGACACTGACCTTTGCTGAATTCTGAGTGCCAGCCAATGGGCCGGTGGTGTCCCCATCATCTAGCGTGAAGCCATCGTCGACATCACGGATGACCGGCCGCCTTGTAAGGTTTATACGAGCGCCCGCTTCGTCGTCCTCAACGTCAGTCTCGTCCCTCTGAGCGGTTGATGCTGGTGGACATGAATTCAAATACTCGACGTCAGTATGAGACTTCGACGGATGAACTACAAAGACTTACATATAGCAGCGGTTCCGGAGGATCGGGGCTGAATCTGACTGTCATCGTCTTCGTCTTCAGCGTGGTCGTCAGGTATGGTCCGTGTCACCAGCGTCTTAGACTTACCACTGGATGGAACTGCTGCAGCTGCACGATTCGCCGGCCCCGGTTTGGCACCGCGGGATGAGGTGATCTGCTCATCCTGCATGATCCGCTCAGTCGCCGACATTAAAGCTGTGCTCTTTCCCTTCTCTGTCCCCTTTACTGTCGGCTTCGGCCTAGGTTTTTGCTTGGGCGGCGGCGGCGCAGACGTCCCCTCCTCATCGTCGTCCATGTCAATATCGTCTTCGACCGCCTTGTCCTTTCCCTTCGCCTTCGGCCTGGGTTTTGGCTTCGGCCGCGGCGGCTCAGACGTCCCCTCCTCCTCCTCGTCCATTTCGATGTCGTCTTCGACCGCCTTGTCCTTTCCCTTCGCCTTCGGCTTACCAACCTTGGCCTTCGGCTTGGGTTTTGCCTTCGGCCGCGGCGGCTCAGACGTCCCCTCCTCCTCGTCGTCCATGTCGATGTCCTCTTCAACCACCTTGACCTTTTCCTTTCCCTTCGCCATTGCCTTGCCCATAGCCTTCTGCTTCCCCTGATCCTTGCGCGGGCCGGTTGAGGATGTCGCGTCTGCACCATCGTCCTGCTCGTCTGCCTCGGGCTGAGAGCCATCGTCGTCGACGACGACGGACGAACGATCAAAAATCTTGCCTTCATCATCGCCGGTGGTCTTGAGGTTACGGGCTTGCTGCTTCTTGCCGCCGTACGTCCTGATGATTTTGTTGCGGGTGGCCGTTTTGTCCGGTACAGTACTAGCCGCTGATGTCGACTTGCGCGAAGACCCGGAAGCACGAGAACGAAATGTTGATCCAGCAGGAGGCCCGTCCAGCACTTCGATATCGTCGTCGCTTTCTTCGACATCATCGTCGATGTCGTTGTCCGGGATCTCATCTCCTTTCACAGCTTTCTGAATGGTGTTGGCCACGGCTTCCATCGGTCGTCAGATGTCTGAATCAGAAGGTATGGATAATGTTCGCGTACCTTTATTTCTTGACAAGAACTGGCCGAGCATTTTTCCTTTGCCTTCGCCGTGGTCGACCATGAGCACGTCGACCGTGCCGACCGCCACCATATTGTATACGGTGACTGTGTCTTCTTGTCCGAGTCGCCATGCCCGGCCGATAATCTGATTGACCAGCATTCGGGACCAACACTGATCCTGTATGCGCGTCAGTCTGAGATATCAGTTCCGGAGCACGGCCGTTGACTCACGAAAAGAACGACAATAGTAGCTACAGTAAGATTCAGGCCCACCGCGCCAACGGTCGAAAATAGTAGAACCCGATCCTCGGGCACGGTGTTGAATCGGCGAATTGTTTCATTGCGCTCATCGGCCGTGAGGGTGCCATTGAGGCTCAGGGCTTCGATATCGTGCATCTTAAGAATCTGAGAAACACGCACGGGCGCACAGTCAGACCGAGTGTGTCGTTCATGAGCATGGCAAAACTCTCACCGAGAGCAACAAAGGTGCCATCATGGTGAATTCCGTGTACACCAGAATCTTCTTGGTACCCATGCTCATGAGTTCCGGGAGCTCCTTGTCGATGGCGTAGTCGCCGATGAAGTCCGGGTCCGTGTCCTTATCGTATTCATCATCCAGCTTTTTCTGTTCCTCCTCCGTGAGCTCTTTGTCGAGGTCCTTGTAAACGCCGTTGTCATCAGAAATCAAATGCCACCGCAAGAGGGTCATGAGGTAGTCCACCTTCGTGGATCGAACTTCATTGTATTCATCCCAATCCGCCACAGGCGGGTAATTCGGAGAATTGTGAAACGGCAGGGGGACCTTCGTCCGGGCCTCCATATAAAAGCTCTGTGAGATGATCATTGGCGTCGGCTCCTCCAGGGGACCGCGGTGATAAACCTACCTGGCCCATTGAGTCAACATCTCTGTGGAGAAAGTGACAACTTGTCAGCAATAATCCGGTTCCTGTGGGGAGCCTCGAACTTACTTTCCAGCCAGGCTGTCCATGCCAGTTTCGACAATATCAAGTTCCGGGTCCGTCAGGTGGACCGGAAAGAAGACCATGAGGTACGGGGGCAAACTGTCGTTGATCCGTTTGCCGTCGAACCGAAGAGACTCTACCGTGCGTCGAATGACCCTGTTGGAAAACCCACGTTTAATCTGTTTGATCCAGACGGTAGTCAGCTGCCGGACCCGAGTCTTGGAGGCAGGCTCGTTATATTCGGCCTTGGAGCCGGCGAGTCGTTGGATGGTGTGCTTGGCCGCGAGCTCCTTATCTTCTTTGGTGATGACTCGTCGCGCCGCTCCCAATGCTTTCCAGTGATTGTTCTCAAAATCGTCTCCCTCTGTCCCGGTGAAGTGAGGGATGCGGAGGACACGGCCGATGTTGCATAAGTCCTACGACCGACGAAGATGTGAATATGGCCTGGCCGATGACTCTCGGCCACTTACCTTTGGGCTGGTGAACAGTGGAGTCGCGGTCGCGATTATCCGAACATGTGAATTCCTCATCAGCAGCAGCATAGCATGCCACCCGGCATTGGGATTCCGGAATTCATGAGCTTCGTCGAGGGTGCAGGAAGCGAAGACTCGCATGTACCAGATGCAATTCCTTTCCAAATGAGGCGATTTTACAGTCCGTTTGTCGTCTACCGCCTTGTTCTGATTGTGACCGACTTTGCCCTTGCGAGTGTCCAACACTTTGCCCTGCGTGGTGAATACCTAGCATGCGTAGCAACCCGTTAGCACCCGGGCCTGATGTCCGCGTATTAAGGAAATGATCGACTGACCGAGTGTGTGACCAGAATAATTCTATTGATCTTAGGCATCGACGATTTTTCCCAAGGTCCCGTCCAAAATGCTGCGAAGTCCTTCTCGGCCGTAGGATACACATAAATCTCGACCGTTTTGGGAGCAAAGAAAATGCGGAGCTCCGACATCCATTGAGCGACCAACGAATTGGGAACGGCGATGACGTGAGGAAGGTTGGGAACTTGGGCTTGGCCGGCGAAGTAGGGAATGGATTCTGTTGACAAAGGATTGAATTAGCATGGAGCGGGAGTCGGACGGTCGGCGGCCGAACGCTCGGACAGCAACTACTTGCCCACGCAAACGGCTCCGAATGGGACCCGTCATGGAAGATCAGACTCACCTAGGATCGGCGCCTTGCGCACAGTGTTGACGTCCACATCTACCAGAGGCGATACGGCCTTTGCGCTGGCGAATCTCGTGTGCCCAATACTGGTCGATCATAAAGGCGATGGAACCCATCACCTGAGCAGTTTTGCCAACGCCGACCTCATCGGCAAGCAGTATGCCTGGAACGGCGTTGGTCTGGTCCTTCTGCCAGATCTTTTCGACGATCGAGGCGATACCGACGCGTTGATGCCACAGAAGGCTCAGTGGCTGCATGTCCGGGTTGCCATCTACGAACTCCTTCTCGGCACCGTCGTCCCAAGCAGACTTCCGGCTTAGAGATCTAAAACGGGCAAAGAGAGCCGGCCGTCCGTCAGGAAAGTTCAATAATCTATTTAGAGCGGTATCGTCTAGGGAGCGGAAATTGTCGACGCCCAAGTCGTTCGAGCCCTCCCACATGGCATCTCTATCCTCTCCGTCTAAATCCACGGCCGGGGCGTCCGGCTCAGTAGGGGCAGTGCGATATAGTTGAACGTACGCCGGCCAAATCAGGTCGACGTCCCCGGCCGCACTCAAAGACACGTTCTTCACCTTACTCGCCCGGGTCCGACCTCGACTTTCTGACGAATGTGCATTCAATAACCTTTGCAACAACACACGACGTATGAAAGCGGATGTACTCACTAGCACTTCCCGACGGCTCCTTGGGGTCGCTGATCTCCGGCGCTAATTTTTCCTTTGCGACGCCTTTGGCCTTGGCCACGGCGGTCACCACAACGGTTTTCAAGAATTCCTCGAGCTCGCTCACACCCTGCAACTTCTCGACTTCCAACGGAAACCACTTGACTGCTTTGGCTGTACATCTTCACATGGTGTGTGGCCTCCCGTAGCATTTGCGGAGTGACCGTGCCTGCGTCCTCGATCACTGCCGGGTAGATGGTATGATCCGGTAAGCAATACATTCCACGGTACGGCGAAGCGACCTACACTTGCAGGCGACAATAGCGGCCATGCGCCTCAGGCCCAACGTCTTTTCCGCGCGCCTGCACATTTTCCGGTGCCGTTCCCAGTTATGGTGAACAATGGGGCTCAAAGACTCACGAAACTCTCCTCGCAAACCTCGGCTCACCGAGTTGGCACCAAAGAGAGCGACCGCGATGTCTTCTCTCGCCATGTCCGCGTCGGCAACGTTCGGAAACCCCGCGTCAGGATCTAAATGTATGAGCTGGAGGGGCAAAAGATCCAACTCTTTCCAGATGGCATCGACCTTCGTGCTGATGGTGCTTGAGATTTGTTGCTTTTTGAACCAGATGGTGAGGGCATCCCGGCCGGCTCCGTATGACGTTTGCTGTTTACCCTCCAGGATGTTGTACCGCGTCTTGATATCTTTTGCTTTTTCGACGGCCGACATCATCTCTCGGAGCGACTTTAACTGGTTCTCATTGAGATGACGGTGCGGCCCCGGCCCGTTGAATAGCTGTGGGCCGAGACCGTAGATGTCCTGGATGATATCCTCGTTCTGGAAAATGAGGTGTCTGCCAGCCAGGAGGGCGCACACAACCCCGCTCTGAATCTTCTTACTCATGGGTTCCTGCTGCAACACGCCACAAATATCAGTATCATCAATCGTCCGGCGGTGCGGGATGCGGGTGGACTTACCGGCTTGTCGTTGGCGCAGTATCGGCGTTCAAGGGTAGCACAGTACGAGCCACGTACAGTGCTGGTATATACGATGAGCTGATTACTGGGCTGTCGCGTCCCAAGACATCCCTTTATAGAGAACAGAACCGAGTAGGCCGGCTCCGGGAATGAGATAGGGAGACTTATCGCCGGAACAATCCTTCTCGCGAGGGTTCATCAATTACCGGACCTGCTAACTCAACACGCCCGGAAGACACGAGGGAGGACGAGGCACAGGGTACGACCTCAATGGCGGATGAACCCTGCCTGATTTGACAGTATCACAGCCGCGATTGCTTTAGCCACCTCTCCGATAAAGGTTTCGGTAGATGTGATTGGTGCGATCAAATCCCAATGGCACTTGATAAGCGAAACCTGCACGCCCGGGCATGAGGGATGGCCCATGCAACATGAGGCCACACTGTGGATATAGGCGACAGTCAGGGCGGTCCCCATGGGGAGCCGCGTCGTAAGCGAGCACCCGATAACACTCTAGACATTGTCGGAACTCTTATGGCGATGAGCGGGGCTCAACGGGTGCCGGGTCAACGGGTATTCAATACTATATGTACAAACGGAGGGCGCGACGACCCATACTCATTACCATTACGTGTGCCGTACCAGTCCCCATTAAAAGGACTTTGAGATGACGCCACAAAGCAGCCCTTGCCCCGCCGGTCCCCATTGGGAGCCCTTTGAGATAAGGCCACACAGCAGCCCTTGCCCCACAAGATAACATCACACATAAGCTTATGCCCGCCGGTCCCCATTGGGACCCGTGAAACATGAAGTCATACCCGTAACCCACCCTATGCCCCGCCGATCCCAAGTAGGACCCTGGTTATGCACACACGTGCATCCTCGTGTGATGACCGTTTAATACTGTCGTACGTCGCACCCTGTACCCTGTCGGTCCCCATTGGGAGCCGCGTATTACTGAGATACACCCCTCGTAGTTACATAGGAACCACTCCGGTCACCATTCGGTCACGCTTGCTGCGGCTCCCTATGGGGACCGCAAGTATGAGAGGTCTGGCAGTGACGTTGTCGGACGGCTACATATGAGCCGGCTCCGGGTGGCAACTCACCTCTCACATTGAATTCAACTGAACCGTCCCATACGTGCGGTCCCCATAGGGAGCCGCAGCAAGCGTGACCGAATGGTGACCGGAGTGGTTCCTATGTAACTACGAGGGGTGTATCTCAGTAATACGCGGCTCCCAATGGGGACCGACAGGGTACAGGGTGTGACGTACGACAGTGTTGAACGGTCATCACACGAGGATGCACGTGTGTGCCTGACCAACTCATGCTGCACACATGTATTTCAACATGCATCACTAGTGCGGGCCGGACTGCTTCAACAGTGTCAGGATGCTAACCCTCACCACAGGTCCGGTCCTCAATGGGAGCCGTACTACAGGCAGATGGGACCGGACCTGTGGTGAGGGGTGAGCATCCTGACACTGCTCAAGCAGCCTGGGACACCGCCCGTGCACTGTACATATATTATATCTGAATGTCAGAGAGTGGTCCGGTCCTCTGTCGGAGCCGTCCTTTGAGAATCCGTGTGATCATCCCCTCCCAGCTGTAAGGTCCGGTCCCTAAAGGGAGCCGTCGGACAAGGCCAATAGAAATCCTTCCCGCAAGTCGCACACTCAAGGTAAATAAGTCATCCGCAGACTTCGACCGTACAACATCGATAATGGTTTTACCGGCCTTTAAGAGACCCGGCTCACACAGAATTCCCAACCAAACCCAACCCATGATGGCCATCATGCTATTTCAACTAAGAACATCAAAGGAAACTACAAACTACAACTACAATCATGATATTGTTTGATATTGTACATAAAAAGTAAGTATCCTGTTTAGCGGCGGCGGCGGCGGCGCTTGGTAACCCGCCCATCAATCTCCTCCACCTCCTTCCTCATAGTGGCGCAGGCCATCTCTATCATCTGCAAGATGTTGGAGAGGCCCGACACCCGACCGGCCAAGTATGCCTCCTCCTCGCCGTCCTCGCTCTCGCTCTCGACGGCGGCGACCTTCCGCTTGGTGCTTGTCCGCAGCTCGACGTAAGCGTTGTTTTGAATGGACCGGGGGCCTGGCACCGCCCGTGGTTGTGCCGGTGCGACGGCGGCAGCCGGGCCTGGCACTTGCGTGGCCTTTGACGAGGCCCGGACGGGACGGGAAGTCGGAGCAACCGGCTTCGGCCTAGGTTTAGGCTTGGGAGCCGGCGCTGGTGGAGGTGGAGGTGGAGGTGGAGGTGGAGGTGGAGGTGGAGGTGGATGTGAGGGTGCCGCGGCCTTTTTCTTTCCTTTGTCTAATTCTAAAGTCAGTGCTGATTTTGTCAGACGGACGAGGTAAATAAGACTTACTTTGTACCAGAGAGCACTTCACCTTCCCATGGTGGCACTCGTAGCACGACTGGCCCTTAGACCAGTTGTGGCACTCGCGTTGCATTGTCGTGCATGTCGTGCAAGGGACAGGGTTGAGTTGCTCGGCGCTCATGCGCGGCGTCTGTTTCTGTAGGCGGAGGGTTAGAATGTCAGCCGGTGACAAGACCCATCACCTACCTTGCGTCCCACCGGACCCGACTTCTCAACGGGTGGTGCCTCTGTGTCTTCAGGATCCACCCGTTCATTAGTCTCCTCCTCCTCCTCCTCCGTCTCCTGCCGGGTCTCCTGCTCCTGATCGGCGCCTTCTTCTCTCTCACCTGTGGCGGGCCCGCGTTCCGTTGAGGTCGCGGTGGGAGTAGCGGTGGTGGGAGCAGTGGTGGTGGTGGTGGCGGGAGCGGGAGCAGTGGCGGTGGTGGAGGTGGTTGAGGTTTCCGCCGTCTCCTTTGAGGTGAGCTCGGCATCCTTGAGGGCGGTAACCTGGCTTTGGAACGCCGCGCGGAGGAGATCACCTTTCTGCCAGTCTTGCCTGGCGGAGACTGGCAGATCGATGACAACCTTGTTGTCACGCGCGAGCGTCAAGCGCTTGGCCACCTGATTCTATGTACATAAGTAGTTAGTTAAGTAGTCAGCATACAAAACAGACAAAGGAAAGAAAAGAAAACACGCACCTTAACATCGGAAAAGTTCTTCAACCACTCCTCCTTCTCCAGAATGTGCTCCTCGTCGTCTTGAGAGGGAGCCGACTGGAGCATGTGGGTGAGACGGGCGCTCAGCTCGCCCACCTCAGCTCTCAGAGCAATAGTGTCCTCGCTCTCGGCCGGCGGAACAGGAAGGAGGTCGAGGATATCGAAACCGTCGATTTGGTCGGACATGGTAATATAGACAGTAATAGAGTTAATAGAGTTGTAGAGTTTGTAGAGTTAACAAAATACAGTTAACAAAATCTGAAGAGAAAAAGACGAAAGTCCGGATCAAGACACAATATATAGGGAACCCCGATTCTGTGGCCGCGAGTGACTAATTGCTCAATTAGGCCAATTCGCGGTCACCTGACTTTTACAATACATTTACAAGTCGCGTGTCGGTGGACGCCCCACATGTGCGCGTGATCACAATAATTTATTCCATTGATCCACATACGGACCCGCGTGAGTCTGTCACCTTACAATACAGATCCACCACTCTGCGGCTGCTTCCGTTGCGGAGCCGCAGACACGGTCACGTGCTACTAACAATAACCACAACAACAATATCACGACAATGCATTTCACATGTGAAGGGATACATTCAATTGGTCCCTGGACGCACCCGCATCACAGTGATCCTCACACGGTCACATGACGTTTGCAAAAAATATCATTAAGTCTGATTTCCGTACACTACCCCGACGTCCTGTACAGTTAGTGAGTGAGTACATAGTACATGTAACATAAGATATCGGCCGTGGTAGGTTGGTTGGTTGGTTGGTGTGATTGCAAACGGCCCACCGACCATGTAAGACTTGTGAACGTGAGTTAGTAAATACACTCGTTGAACAGACGGTCCCCAATGGGAGCCGTCCAACTGGTTGGTTGGTTACTGGTTGGCTAGTTGGTATATTCATAATAAACATATCGCATATACAGTACACTTGCTCATAACGTATAGCGACGGGAGCCACCCTTTCTCTATACACTATGAAAAATATACAAGATGGAATAGTTCTCACGGTCACAGCATCATCGCATGTATTCAACGAGTCGTCGGTATCTAGTCCACTTCATGTTCCAGAACATGTCTAGAGTAGTCTGCTTGGCGTTTGGGCCAGGCTTAGGACGCGGCTGACATTTTTTGGTGCTACACACCATTGACTTAGTACTAGATGTTCATTAATGAAAAAATTTCGTGCTACTTGCAGGATCTCCAACCACCCCGGGCCTTAGTAAACTAGGTGTCATACTGTATATTGAACGACCAAACATTATACATTATACATTATACAATATTCTGGCCATTTCCCCGCATACCACAACGGGAGCCACCCAAACCCGATACAATATGAAAAATATACATTAATACCATATACGTTATGAGCAAGTCTACTGTATGCGGTCCCCTACGGGAGCCGTCCACCTGCAGGACAATATTGACTTACTAGCACGTGACCGTGTGGTCGGCTCCGCAACGGAAGCAGCCGCAGAGTTGTGGATCTGCATTGTAAGGTGACGGATTCACTGTGACGCGGGTCCGTATGTGGATCAATGGAATAAATTATTGTGATCACGCGCACATGTGGGGCGTCCACCGACACGCGACTTGTAAATGTATTGTAAAAGTCAGGTGACCGCGAATTGGGGTTCCCTATATATTGTGTCCTGATCTTGACTTGCGTCTTTTCTCTCCAACTCAATTTTGTTAACTCAAACTTTGTTAACTCTAACTCTATAACTCTATAGTACTGTCTAGATTACCATGTCCGACCAAATCGACGGTTTGGATCTCTTAGACCTCCTTCCTCCTCCGCCGGCCGAGAGCGAGGAAACCATTGCTCTGAGAGCTGAGGCGGCCGAGCTGAACGCTCGTCTCACCCACATGCTCCAGTCGGCTCCCTCCCAACACGACGAGGACCACATTCCGGAGAAGGAGGAGTGGTGCAAGAACCTCTCCGATCTTAAGGTGCGTGTTGTTTTTTCTTTCCTTTGTCTGTTTTTACTTAACTAACGAACTACTTATGTAACTTATGTACTTAGGATCAGCTGGCGAACCGCTTGACGCTTGCGCGGGACAACAAGGTTGTTATCGATCTGCCAGTCTCCGCAAGGCGAGACTGGCAGAAAGGTTACCTCCTTCGCGCGGCGTTCCAAAGCCAGGTGACCGCCTTCAAGGATGCCGAGCTCACCTCAAAGGAGACGGCGGAAACCTCAACCACCTCCACCACCGCCACTGCTCCCGCTCCCGCCACCACCACCACCACTGCTCCCGCTCCCGCCACCACCACCACCACTGCTCCCACCACCGCTACTCCCACCGCGACCTCAACGGAACTCGGGCCCGCCACAGGTGAGAGAGAAGAAAGCGCCGATCAGGAGCAGGAGACCCGGCAGGAGGAGGAGGAGGAGGAGGAGGAGGAGGAGGAGGAGGAGGAGGAGACTCATGAACGGGTGGGACCCAAGGTAAGTGATATGTGTTCTCAGCGGCTGATATTCTAACCCTCCGCCTGCAGAAACGGACGCCGCGCATAAGCGCCGAGAAGGCCATCCACGAGGTGCCTTGTGCCAACTGCAAGAAAGTGGCCCGCACATGCCACGTCGCCTCCACGGGCGTGTCGTGCTACGAGTGCCGCCGTGGGAAGGTGAAGTGCTCCCATGTCAGAGGTAAGTGTTTACCTCGTCCGTCTGATACAATAAGCACTAACTAATAGAATCAGACAAGGGGAAGAAAAAGATCGCGGCACCCCCACCTCCCCCTTCAACCCCACCACCACCAGCGCCGGCTCCCAAGCCTAAACCTAGGCCGAAGCCGGTTGCTTCGACTTCCCGTCCCGTTCGGGCCTGCTCAAAGGCCACGCAAGCGCCAGGCCAGGCCGCCAGGACACAAACTAAGTCCAGCGAGCCAGCCGCCGTCGCACCGGCACAACCACGGGCGGTGCCAGGCCCCCGGTGCGTAAACAACGCCTACGTCGAGCTCCGGACGTGCACCAAGCGGAAGATCGCCGCCGTCGAGGAGGAAGAGAGCGAGAGCGAGGACGGCGAGGAGGAGGCATACTTGGCCGGTCGGGTGTCAGGCCTCTCCAACATCTTGCAGATGATAGAGATGGCCTGCGCCACTATGAGGAAGGAGGTGGAGGAGATTGATGGGCAGGTTACCAAGCGCCGCCGCCGCCGCCGCTAAACAGGATACTTACTTTTTTAATGTATAATTCAAAACATCATGATTGTAGTTTGTACTTGTACATGTAGTTACTTAGTTTTATTACTGTAGTTTACTGTAGTTGGTACACATGGAATAGCATGTGGCCATTATGTATTGGGTTGATAAGAATTTCTGTGTGAGCCGGGTCTCTCAAAGGATGTTAAACCCATGATTGATGTTGTACGGTCGAGGTCTCCGGATGACTTATTTACTTCGAGTGCGCGGCTTGCATGTGTAACGGGAAGGATTTCTATTGGCCTTGTCAGACGGCTCCCATTGGGGACCGGACCTTACATCTGGGAAGGGATCAGTACACGGATGATCGGAGGAAGGCGCCGACAGAGGACCGGACCACTCAATGAGAGTAGATATAATATATGTGTATGGACCGGCCTGCCAGTGGTACGGCTCCCATTGGGGACCGGTAACAGTGTTGTTAGTATAATCGAACTAGTAATGATCCAACGGCTCCGGCTGAGGACCGGACCTCTGGGGTAGGTAGTTGATTAGTTGACGATATGCCTCAGCCTATGGTACGGCTCCCGTTGGGGACCGCATACATGTCATCCGTGATGATATTTGCCTGGGTGATGTTACGGCTCCCATTGGGGACCGCACTTGCATTGACCGAGTGTATTACATTATGCCTGTACATATCGGACGGCACCCATTGGGGACCGCATATATGTCATCCGTGATGATATTTGCCTGCATGATGTCACGGCTCCCATTGGGGACCGCACTTGCATTGACCGAGTGTATTACATTACGCCTGTACATATCGGACGGCACCCATTGGGGACCGCACATATGTCATCCGTGATGATATTTGCCCGGGTGATGTCACGGCTCCCATTGGGGACCGCACTTGCATTGACCGAGTGTACTAAATCATACATGTACATATCGGACGGCACCCATTGGGGACCGCACATATGTCATCCGTGATGATATTTGCCTGGGTGATGTCACGGCTCCCATTGGGGACCGCACTTGCATTGACCGAGTGTACTAAATCATACACGTACTTGTGAGACGTCTCGCATGGTGGACCAGATCTCTTAAAAGTCTCCTTATGATTTGAACTAGTACTTGTCGACGGCTCCGATTGAGGACCGGACCTTTGAAGTAGGATCATTAATGATATTTGCTTCAGCTGGCTGGTGTGACGGCTCCCATTGGGGACCGCACTTGATTCACAAAAAGCAACATTGAGGCCCAGCGAGGTGCGGTCCACCATGCGAGACGTCTCACAAGTACGTGTATGATTTAGTACACTCGGTCAATGCAAGTGCGGTCCCCAATGGGAGCCGTGGCATCATGCAGGCAAATATCATCACGGATGACATATGTGCGGTCCCCAACGGGTGCCGTCCGATATGTACATGTATGATTTAGTACACTCGGTCAATGCAAGTGCGGTCCCCAATGGGAGCCGTGACATCACCCAGGCAAATATCATCACGGATGACATGTATGCGGTCCCCAACGGGAGCCGTACCATAGGCTGAGGCATATCATCAACTACCCAACCACCTATCCCAGAGGTCCGGTCCCCAATGGGAGCCGTGGCATCATGCAGGCAAATATCATCACGGATGACATATATGCGGTCCCCAACGGGTGCCGTCCGATATGTACATGTATGATTTAGTACACTCGGTCAATGCAAGTGCGGTCCCCAATGGGAGCCGTGACATCATGCAGGCAAATATCATCACGGATGACATATATGCGGTCCCCAACGGGAGCCGTACCATAGGCTGAGGCATATCATCAACTACCCAACCACCTATCCCAGAGGTCCGGTCCTCGGCCGGAGCCGTTGGATCATTACTAGTTCAATTATACTAACAACAACACTGTGACCGGTCCCCAATGGGAGCCGTACCACTGGCAGGCCGGTCCATAAACATATATTATATCTACTCTCATTGCCTCAGCTGATTACTAGTTCAATTATACTAACACTGTTACCGGT